ACAATAAGGGATTCGAATTACTCAAACCTAAAGTCAAAGGAAAAAATAATGTTTCAAATAGATTACTTATTTTCAGGAAACTAAAGAAACATAATATGCTTAACTTAATATTTAAAAATATGAGAATGCAATTTAATTAGAATTTTACAGTACTTTGGGATGATCATAAGTGTTAAATTATATACTATACTATAGACATAGGCATAGAAAGTTTAACTTCATGTGATTAGCAAGCTGTATTAATATAAATAAACCAACTGTAACAAAAACATTTAACTTAGATTCAGATTATCTCAAGAAAATATAGCTCTGGGGAAAAAAGTAAAGAAAAAAAAACTCATTCCTTGCATGTCAAAAATATTACAAAATTTTTCTTAAGGTACTCTTATTGATAAGCTTTATTTAGGCAGTATTCCCATGTAAATATTCATGGTTTTACTTTATGTACTAAACTTTTACCTCATAAGCACTAAGAAAATTAACTCTGGCTTTTTTTTTATCATAGTATTTTAAATACAATAGGGCCTCAAAAACTTGAGAATAATGCCAACAAAAGTAAATCTTTAACACAGTACTATATACTAAGTTAAATTAAAACAAGTTAAAATACCAGTAAGTCTGGAGGACTATCTCATTAGTATTATCTGCTTAGAGGAGTATAGTGTTGTCCTCTGTATCTGTGGGGTATTGGTTCCAGGATCCTCACGGATTTCAAAATCTGTGTATACTCAAGTCCCTTAAATGGCATGGTAGTTGCATATAACCTTTGCATATCTTTACACATACTTTAAATGATTTCTATATTACTAATACCTAATACAATGCAAACACTATGTAAATAGTTATTGTAATACATTGGTTTATTTGTGCTATTTTTTATTGTCGTATTATTTTTAATTTTTTTCTCAAATATTTTTTATCTGTAGTTGGCTGAATCCATGAATAAGGAACCCATGGATACAGAGGGATGACTATATTCTACTGGTTATGAGCATATTCTCTAGAACCAGCTACCTTGGTTCAAATCCTGGCTCTACCACTTATAGTAGGGACTTTAAACAAGTTACTATCTAATGGTGTCTTGGTGAACCAGCTCTTGTTGATCAGAGTTAGGAGGCTTGATTTACAGCACTTGCCTTTTCCCATAGTGTAAATATTCCCTTCATGGCCAATTTCAAGCTACCAATGTGATGTCACTGAATGCAGAGTTGGGAAGAGATGTCTAATACATAATTGGCTCAAGATAATAAACATCTGTACCTCCTAGGGTTTTGGTAAGGACTAAATGAACTTAAATATGTGGCATATAAAGCATGGAATAAAGGTTAGCTATTATGATCATCTTACTAGTTCATACAAAATTATAATAATTTTCTATTTTGTTAAATCTCAGGAATAAAATCAATCACAAATAAATATTTATTTCTGTATGTAAATTTAAAGGCACTAAAGAAATCTGCCTACACGGAAGTATTTTCCTCTTTCATGAACCTCTTATATAAAATTTTATGTGCCCATACTATATTACACTTTGCATGATAATAATCCATTACACAAGTCTCATTTGGACTTGTAATAGAAAACCTTAGATATTTTTATGAGGTAATACTTTTTAAAACAAATCTTTGTTTCATATCAAATTGTACTAGAAAGAAATTTACATTCTAGCATAATACTCTAGAAAATACAAAAGATGAGTTTCAGTAATTTGAAGATAAAGTAATAAGATAAACATTCAACTCTGCCCAATCATACTAAAATTATTTTCAGATACATTTCACACAAAGCCAAAATACAGTATTTGATTTGTGATGACTCTGAAAATAATCACTGCAAAAATAACCCTATATTGTCATCATTTTTTGCCTCTTTAAGAGGATTTTTCTGTATCAATTCAGTTCTACACACTTGAATATGTCCACATAATTAAAAAATTTTAATATTGTCAAAATATGAAGTAGTACTGAAAGAACCAATAAAAAAAAACTCTAAAATGGAAAGACCCTCTGATTATTTTCAATGAAATCTGTTAAATCAGCAATGCCATACAAAAAGAGAAAAAAAAGAGACAACCCTTGGCCTTAAACTCACCTGTAAACAAAAAACAAAATATCCACTAACACTCTGTTCTGCGATGACATCTTCCATTGTCCGCAGGGTGGTACCCAAGTAAGAATTCAGAAGCTGGGTAGGAAGCAGTCCAACCGAAGATGCCATCAGATAGTTGGGTAATGAGAGATCAGTAATCTAGAAGAGTAGATTAAAGGGAATGATGCATTATCAAGTAAAATTTCAATTCAACATAAAAAAAGTGTGTATAAGTCTAGCTAGTAGTATTTCCTTGGGAGTAGAGGGAGTTGACATTTTTACAACAGTATTCTGACTTTTCAAAATGATTATAAAGAGAATACATGCAGAATGTAGAAAATTCAGAATGAAATAAAAGTAAATTTTAATATTCTATCATACTACCATTGAAAGATAACATTTGTGACTCTTCTTACATGTAAATAAAATCCACACATAGGTAACTTTGTAAAAGCAGTTTTGTAAGTCTTTCTCATATCATTAAATATTCTTCAAAAACATTCTTAAATAGCAATGTGGTTGCTAGGCTTTGAAGCCAGATAACCCTACAAATGCCATTTTGGTGCTGACAATTCAATGAGCTACTCTGTCTCTAAATAATCTGTTTTGTTTTGTTTTGGTTTGGTTTCGCTTGGAGAGTCTTGCTCTGTTGCCCAGGCTGGAGTGCACTGGTGCAATCTTGGCTCACTGCAACCTCCGCCTCCTGGGTTTAAACAATTCTCCTGCCTCAGCCTCCCAAGTAGCTGGGACTACAGGTGCACACCACCATGCTTGGCTACTTTTTTGTATTTTAGTAGAGAAAGGGTTTCACCATGCTGCCCTGGCTGGTCTTAAACGCCTGAGCTCAGACAATCTGCCCTGTCTCCCAAAGTGCTAAATATCAGTTTTTTCATCTGTAAGATGAAAATAATCACCAGCTTAGATGGCTGTTCTTAGGATCAGAAATATTTCTAAAGTATCTAGGAAACACCTGGCACATGACATTCAAGAAAGGTGAAAATTATCATTATTATGCATTTATACTACCACTGTGTGGATACAGCACAATTTAATCACTCCTGTTGCAGAATATTTACATTGCTTCAGTTTTTGTATATGTGTAATTACACAATTATTTTTGCCTATTATTAAAAAATCCTGAAACTATAATGACATCTTTTGGAGATTAACCTGTGTGGTAGGCAACATCTAAAATATTCCTAATGACCGGGTCTCCTGATATTCATGCCCTTGTGTGATCCCTTCCCCTAGAGTGTGTGCTGGACCTTGTGCTTGCTTACTTTTTTTTTTAATTCTTCATTTTAATATTTTTTTTACACTTTAAGTTCTAGGGTACACGTGCAGATCATGCAGGTTTGTTACACAGGTATACACGTGCCATGGTGGTTTACTGCATCCATCCCCCCGTCATCTACATTAGGTATTTCTCTTGTTATCCCTCCCCAAACCCCCCACCCCTTGCTATCCCTCCCCTACCTCCAACACCCCTTGACAGGCCCTGGTGTGTGATGTTTCCCTCCCTATGTCCATGTATTCTAATTGTTCAATACCCACTTATGAGTGAGAACATGCAGTGTTTGGTTTTCTGTTCTTGTGTCAGTTTGCTGAAAATGATGGTTTTTGGATCCATCCATGTTCCTGCAAAGGACATGAACTCATCCTTTTTTATGGCTGCATAGTATTCCATGGTATATATGTGCCACATTTTCTTTATCCAGTCTATAATTGATGGACATTTGGGTCGGTTCCAAGTCTTTGCTATTGTGAACAGTGCCGCAGCGAACATAGGTGTGCATGTGTCTTTATAATAGAATGTTTTAAAATCCTTTGGGCATATATCCAGTAATGAGATTCCTGGGTCAAATGGTATTCCTATTTCTAGATCCTTAAGGAATTGCCACATTGTCTTCCACCATGGCTGAACTAATTTACACTCCTGCCAACAGTATAAAAGCATTCCTATTTCTCCACATCCTCTCCAGTATCTGTTGTGTCCTGAGTTTTTAATGATCACCATTCTCACTGACATGAGATAATATCTTAATGTGGTTTTGATTTGGATTTCTCTAATGACCAGTGATGATGAGCTTTCTTTCATATGTTTGTTGGCTGCATAAATGTCTTCTTTTGAAAAGTGTCTGTTCATATTCATCCTCCACTTTTTGTCTACAGCAAACAAAAGCAGAAGTGAGAAAATGTCACTTCCAAAATTAGGTTACAAAAAGAACCGGGCTTCCACTTCTTCCTCAAGCAAGTTTCCATGCTATAAGTAGCTCCCATGGAGAGGCCCATGTGGTAAGGAACTGATGTCTTCAGTCAATAGCTAGCAAAAATAGCCAGTCAATATCCTGGAAGTGGATCCTCCCCTAGTCAAGCCTTAAGATGACTGCAGCCCTGGCCAAAACCTTGATTGCAGCATTGTGAGGGAGCCTGAGTCGGAGGCACCTAGCTAGTTGCACAGTGATTCTTGACCCAGAGAAACTGTGAGACAGTAAATGATTGTTTTAAGCTACTAAGTTTTGAAATGGTCTGGTATATAGCAATCCATGACATATGTATCTTAACTTTGTCAAGATTTTCAGGATAGATCACTAGGAGTAGAATTATTGGTTCATATAGTAAAAAAAACTATTTTCCCAAAATGTTCACAAAGATTTAACACACCTGTCAGTATGTGATATATAAATGTAACCTTTGTGTCATACTCTTACCAACTTTAAGTATTAAAGTTTAATCTTTCTTATTTTGACAGGAGTAAAAATGTTTTGTCATTATTTTATCTGTACTATTTTAATTTACATTGACATGTTTTCTATATAATTTTTTTTCACATTTTCTTATGGCTTTATTTGTTCACATTTACTATTTTTTATTGGGATGTTAAGCGTTTTTCTTGTTTTTTTTTTTTGGACAGCAGAGCTGTATATTGGACAGAGGCTCACTCTTTGAGGGAGAAATGCATCTTATCGTTGATCATCTTGCGCTCGGGGTTGATGCGCTTGAGGATCTGGGCCAGCACATTCACCGTCTGGTCGCTACTCAGCCCGGTCTTCTTGGTCTGGAATTTTTTCAGCAGGTTCTTAGTGGTCATGGGCTTCCGCGTCAGGTAGCGGCGCACGGCGTCCTCAGTCACCTGCACGTCTCCGCTGCTGGGTGTCGACTTGCCCGACGGTGGCTGGGGAGTCGACTTTCCGGACAGGCTCTGGGGCCCCGCATCCAGACGTAACCGCTTGGCTGCAGGCGCCTCGCTCACCCGCTTCCCTTGCTGGAGTTTGCTGGCGGCGGCACGCAGGGTGGAGGAGGTGCTGCCGCCCTTTGTGCTGGGCGTGCCCGGGCGGCTGTTGCCCCTTGAGCTCCCTCCCGACAGCTTCCGCTCTCTCTTGGGCGGTGTCTTCTTCTTCACCATGAAGAGGGCCGAGGAGGCCTCACTGTCAATGTCACTCTCCTCTGAGCTGTCTGATTCATCGCTGCTGTCTTTCCTGTGCTGCTTCTCCTGCGGGGTGGGCGCCTTCTCCTCCTCCTCCTCCTCCTTGTCCTCCTCAGGTGGCTTCTCCTCCTCGCTCTCCTCGCTACTGTCGCTCTGCTCATCGACGCCCTTGGGCCCCTCCTCCTGCTGCGGCACCTTGGCCTTGGTCTCGGGCTCTTCCATGGAGCTGCTGGAGCCGTCCGACATGTAGTCCACCTCCCGGCCCTCGAAGTCCCCATTATCGCTGTCCTCGAAGGCCTCGTCATCTGAGCCCTTCTTCTTCTTCTTCCTGCTGCCCTTGGCCAGGGGCGCCTTCTTCTTGGCCTTGGGGGCTCTGCCACCCTCCTCACCGCTGGCGTCACTGGCATCGGACGACATCTCCAGGTCGTCCTCCAGGTTGTGGATGCGCAGCTTGCTCGCCTTCCTGCGGCCGCGCTTCTCCTTCTCCTCCTTGTCCTGCTCCTGGTCCTTGAGCCGCCACTGCTGCATGATGCTGAAGTGGTTCAGCACCTTGTTCCTCCTCTCCCACTCCTCCTCGGCCTCCTCAGCAGTGAGCGTGCAGTGCCAGGCCAGCAGCATGAAATTGTACCAGTTGTGCACCGGGAAGGCCTCAAAGGCCCCGTCGGGGCACTGGGTGAAGATATAGTAGGATGTATTTTCTGTCACGCCTCCCTTCTTGATGCCCTTGAACTTCCTGCCGGATTTGCCATTGACGCGGAGCAGCCAGGGCTGGTCCTCGGCTGGAACTCCTTAAGGACGATGCCGAGCTTCTTCCTCCGAGCTTCCAGGAGCTTGCGGTTGAACTCGCTGCCCGCGCCTGACTCGGCCATCTCCTCCTCTTAGTAGATTTTCTTGTTGCTCAAGTCCCGCTCCAGCTGGGCCTGATTCCACGTGGCAAAGTTGACTTTATCAGCTGCATTAAAAGCCACGATGTTATATTTTTTGGTTGTATTCTTTGGAACTCGAACGATGTATTCAGTGACATTCTGGCTGCTGGGGCCTAGGACCGCCATGGGCAATGGTCAGCGGTTCCGATCTGGTCCAACCGGGGTTCCTTTCTTCTCCTCTGGCTACCGCGTCCCTCGATCTCGGGGAAGCTGCCGCTCGGTGTCTGGTCTCTCTGTTCCGGTCCCCGCGTCGTTTTGTTTGTTTTTAAGAATTATTTATATAGTGAGGGCAACCTGTTGTCTATTATATGTGGTGTAAAGTTTTCGGTAAAGTGTCCTTATATCTCTTTATGTTTTGACATACAAATGTTTTTAAAATTTTATATAATCAAATATTATCCATCTTTTTCTCTTATTTTTCCATTGCATTTAGCTTTAGAAAGTGTTTTAAGAGCCTGTTGTTCGTTTCTACCTATATAATTTCTTCTGATTATGTTTTCCTTTTTAACATTCACCACTCATTCCTTCTGGAATTTATTCCAATTAAGGGTGAGGATATAGCCTGATCCCTCTCCTTTTCCAACAGCCAATTTTCCCAGCATTAGATATTAATCAATAACTTCTCTGACTTATGTTTACTTTAGTAGAAATTTAGGTTATTTTATATTAAAAGGGCTTACAGTGTTTGGAACTCTAAAACTATCCATTTATATTTAAAATCTTGTACTAGAACTAAAACATACGTATTTCAAATCTTGTACTGAAACCAAATTGTAATAAAGACTACCAGTTAATACCTAGCAAGGAATTTCCCATTCTCTTCAAAGTCCTTCATTATGCCACTTTTAAAAATTGCCATAACTGTTCTGAACTTTTTATTTTTGCAGATCGTTCTGCCACTCAGAAAAAAAAAAATCAGTAAATTTTATGTTGGGATTAAGGTAAATCTGACTATTAATCTCGATAGAACTGAAACCTCTACAATATTAGGTATTCTTATCCAGAAATGTTTCTGTATTACTCAAAATCTTCTTTTATACCTATTACTAAAGTTTGGTCACTTTATTCATGTATCTCATGCATTTCTTATTAGTTTATTTCTAAGCATTTCATGTTGTTATTGTTGCCACTACTATTTGAAAGTAACTTTTCCATATCCCCATCTGAGTGTTACTGGTATATAAAAAAGCCACTGGCCACTTTATTAAACTTATTTTTTTTTAAACTCATTTTAAGATATGATATTTTAATTGGCTATGGGTGACTTTTTAACACCTTTTTTTTTTTTTTTTTTTTTTGAGACGGAGTCTTGCTCTGTCACCAGGCTGGAGTGCAGTGGCGCAATCTCGGCTCACTGCAATCTCCGCCGCCTGGTTTCAAGCGATTCTTCCACCTCAGCCTCCTGAGTAGCTGGGACCACAGGTGCGTGCCATGATGCCCAGCTAATTTTTGTATTTTTAGTAGAGATGGGGTTTCACCATGTTGGCCAGGATGGTCTCGATCTCTTGACCTTATGATCCGCCCACCTCGACCTCCCAAAGTGCTAGGATTACAGACGTGAGCCACCGTGCCCGGCCAACTTTATGAATACAACCTAATCTAAAAATAACATAAATCTTATTTTCAATAAAACTACATTAATCTCTATTAATAGGTAGCAAACTGGAGATGCATCACTGTGATTGGAAAGAATATTAAAGTGACTGGTTGTTAACAATCTACCTTATCGATCACTGACTCAGTAACTGCTCATGCAAGATGCTTCAATAGGTGCTTGGAAGAGATTGAAAAGTAAGACACAATGCCTACCATTGACGGATTTACATGTAAATCCATCAAGTACAAGTAGACATACACATAAACTACTTCAGAAACAGGCAGAATGGGGAGGCTTCAGAAGGACTACATTCTGAGCATTAAACAATAAAGGATGAAAATTAGTTGAAGTGGAGACCAAAGCGTAACTTTTTGGGAAAAGAGGCATTCAGGGCAGACACTGAAAGCCTGGTATGAGTTTGGCAAGCAAAGATAGAATGAGTAAGGCAGGTGTTCCAAGAAGAGAATGAACAAGGACAACGTGGCAGGAAAAGTACAGAATGTGTTCATAAGTTGGCAGGACAGCTAGGATTGTTTGTAGGACACACGCTAAGAAATCCTGTAAAATAAAGACAGGAAAACTAGATGGGGTGATACTTGTTGGGGCCTTGGATAAAAGAGGAGGGAGCATATACTCAAAGGAAAGGTTCCAGGGAGTCTAGTCAAAGAATGATGTGAATGACGCAAAGCAGAGCAAGGCTCCTCCTTCAGTTTAGGGCACTTACAGGAGCAGAGAACTTTCTTTAGAATAAACATGTCAAATATAGAAAACAAGAATATATGACAAAAATGAATGTTATAAAATTATATTGCAGTTAATAATAAAACATTACATATTATGGAAGTTATCTTTAAAATAAATATTTCAGTTATAAAATTTCAGAATGCAACACTTCTGGCCACAGCCTTTACCTTTAAATATAATGAAGTTTCTCTAAATAGAACACATAACTGACATTTACAGATGACATCAATAATATTCAAATGGATAATTTAAGAACAGATTTCATAAATCTGAAACAACTCTACCACTCAACATGATGCTGCCCAATGCATAAATTACATAAATTGAAGTTTATAAAACCTTTCATGACCAAACCTTACCCTGGGAAAAAGTATTATGCATACATATCTCCTTCCTGAAGAACTGTATATATAAAGAAAGCAAAAAATTAATTTTAGTTAATAATTGTAAATAGTTTTGCTGGAGTGTTCAATGCTTTAACCAAAGGAGCAACACAGTAACATACATGCACACAGTTTTTAAACTAATAACTTTATTAAAGATGAACAGCTTCTTCCAAATTATTTTAATATGGCATTTTCTATATGCAAAATTCTACTCAGAATCTCCATCTAGATCAGTCTTTGACAAACATATTTGGAATACTTGTTCCACAAGGAGACATATCCAGCCTTCTCTTCCCAGTAAGTCTTCAAGCACCAAAGTTCTAAAATTCTGTCTCCTTGTTCTACTTTGTAGAAAGACATTAAACATGAGCCTAGATCAGTACCACTGGAATTCCTGTCGACGGCACCCTGAAATTTTGGCTCAGGAGTTGTATTCCAAATCAAAGGACCCCTAAATTGCTCAACCTAGGATATCAATGTTATCTTGCTAGTTTGTTTCTAAGATGAGATACCACAGGGAGAATGCAAGGGATGGCGAACACAACCTGATTGTTATCCTCTCATGTTTTAAAAATTCTAGAAGCACTATAAAATTATACATCCTCTTATTTCCAGAGGTACTGTGATTTAGTTAGAGATGTGATTCATCTAACTGGGTTAGCAGGGGTTAATGTAGAACATTCCTTCACCACTATACCAAATAGATCCTAAAAACAAAGAAGTGCCCCATCTGGGAAGGAAAAAAATAGAGACAAAAACTAAGTCTGAAGGGCAAGAACTGATTCACCTCTGAACATGGCATTTTGGGGATGACAACAGAGAACCTCTGTCTTCAGATCTATCACTGGGACATTCACTGAAGCTGGGGCTGTGGTCGGTCCTCTTAAGCACGGCACCAAGCAAAGCTCCCAGGAAACCTAACCCAGGCCTTCTACTTTCTAAGATTATAGCTGTTTATACAATGGCTTTACCACTTTAATTTAACCCACCAAGAAACTTTGTTTGTACATAGAACATCTTGTCATGGATGTAATGAAGAACATAAAGGTGATCTGTATTCAGAAGACCTCAAATGGGTATGTGCAGCTCTCTGAATCTAGCATTAGTTTTGGCAAACTATAACTTTCTGTATAGATTTGTTTCTTGGTATTCGGGATGCTGTTTATTAACAAAGTTACTATTCAAATATTATAAATTCCAATTAAAATATATTTAATCACACAGGAAAAAATCATGAATCCCTATGATTGTTAAGAAAGGATTGGTCAAGAGAAATTAAAATGACCAGTTTGGTTTTTATACCTAATTAATGTTTACTGATAAATTATTTTACTGTATATATCCCCAAAATACTTCCTATTAATATTTCAGAAAAATTGAGGAAGAAAGAAAAAGAATTCCGAAATGGAAACTATTTTTCACACTCAGAAAAACAAAACTTAAAAATCAATTTAAAGAAAAAAATTAACTGCCCATTCTCTTTCCTTTGCTCCCCAAAATACCTCTTCATCTTTTCTGAGTTCCCAATCTCAGCTGCCCTAGCTGGAAGGCTCATCAGTCAATCACATAGCTAATTCCTCATTTCCTACATCCAATATCTATGTCTAGTCAACCACACCTTTTCTAGGGAAACCTATCCACCGTCTGGGCCTATTCCTAATTCAGTCTCCTTCTTTCCAGTCCTTACACATGGACTACCCCCATTCACTGCCTATGCTAACTCCTGCAGAAATCTTTAAAACGTGAGCCTAATCCTGCTAAAACTCCCTCCTACTGCCGTGAGGTTCTTCAGAGCACAAAGTGCTTCACGATCTGGCCTCAGAGCATCTTATGCATCCTGTCACACTATGTCCCGGTCACATCTAAATTTTCTCAGTTCCTAGAATACTACTTGCTTCCCTTTCCTCTGGGCCTTTCTACATTGTTCCTTCTGGGGAGTACAACAAGCACGTCCTTCCTCCCACTCCTTTTACTCTGAAAACTCCTACACTGTCTTTCACTATTCAGTCATCAATTACGCTAGGAAACCTTCCCAGATGGCCCAAGTCTTTTTAAGAAGTGCTTTCAAGTCCTCTGATAGAACACTACAACTCCCTGTCCCCTTCGCACTGGAGAACAATTGAAGGTGTCGCCATTTGTTTGCCCCTCAGCCCTTTCCCAGACTATAAATTCTGTGAGGAAAGGGATCTGTCTGTCTTGGTCCTCACTGCGTCTCTAGATCTTAACAAATGCCTACTATATATTAGGTGCTAAATGTATGTTTATTGGAGGTTGGATGTATCAACACCAACATTGTTTTGTTTATAAATATGGAAACCTAAAATAGTTGCCAGTTATAAGCAAGTTGGAATGCAAAGTCCATTTTTAATTGGATTTTTAGAAATTAAGAACATTCTGACAAACACACAGAAAAAAAGTTATTATCAGCAAAATTTACACCATAATTTACCTAGAATACTATTTCTTCAGCGGAATGCTACCACCTCAAGGGGCAGACTTTTTTTTTTCACAGCTATACCTCCAGCATTTAAAATAGCAGCAGGCACATACTAGGCACCTACCAATTATTTATTAAATGAATACTAAAAATATTTCCAGTAACCTCAAGGTGAACATAATGTCAAGGCTAAGACCCTCTCACTAGGGTCTCTCAAGCAACCCTGAGAATACTAAAAAAAGTATTGCTACTGGGGAAAAAAAAGAACAAGGCCACAGTGCTGAGATCCCACCCTAATAGCAGGAGAGGGCTTCAGGGTAAAGAGATTTCTACGGACAGAAATGGTTACGTCCCTGTCTATAACACAGAAGCCTCTTCATATATGCAAGCTTTTTCATTAGTTCACTCCCCCTAAATTAGGAAATGTGTTTAATGGCTCCCAAATACCTTGGGGAGGGGTCACCAACTTATTTAAGAATCTGGTTTAAACCCCCTTCCACCCTCCCACCCCCCCACACACACAGAGGTCCTCAATCTTCTCCCCAAGGGGAGATAGTGTGTATCTCATTGTACATAATTTCTGAAACACAAGTTGAAAAGCTCTTCTTCATATAATTTGACACACTATAGATTTATAATTTGTAATAAAAATGTGTCATATACCTTCTATACACACACACACACACACACACACACACGACCCACTTTAAAGCAGGAATAAAAAAGACACAAAGATACACAGAAAACTACAGTTGATTGTGCAGTCATTAAAAGTTATGTTGTAATACATATAATGACAAGATGTTCAGTAAATCAAGTAAAGGTCACAAAAATCATATTAACTCTATTATATAAAAATACATATCAATAAAATGCAAAGAGAAAAACAAACATTAAAATGTTAATGACTTTTTTCTTTGTACTTACTATAGTTTTCAAAGTTTTTAAAATGAATATAGAAAAAAATATTGTTAAATATGTTTTAATAACCTCTCTGCTTCTGAAGAAAGATTTTTTTAATCTAGGAAGGGTTACTAAAACATACTGTATATATTGATGTAACAGGCTAGAGATACAGATTAGTGAATTGTAAGCCTATGTATGATACATAAAAACTACAGAAGCCG